GGGCCCCCACACCCGCCGGAGAAGCATCCCGGCGGCCGGCAGAAGCAGCAGGTGGAGCATCGATCGTCGCGTTGTCGGAGTTCTTGCAAGATCTTTCTGAGACGAGCCTTGGAGGTGGAGTTCTCCATGTCTTGGACGAAGCGATAGAGGTGGCGGATGTAGTCGGGGTAGATCTCGAGGTTGCAGTGTCCGCCGCCTTTTATCCAGAGCGGCTCGTACGGCTCCTTCGCCTTTTTCCATAGCCCGTTCCCGTGCAGCCAATTCACCACCTCGTCCTCTGTCCCCTGCATGGAATATGATGCATCGTTTTACGTAATTACGTGGTTAATAATCCAATAATCAAATAGAACTCTGAAAATATAACCGAATCGAATCCAAACCGAAACTCAAAATGATCACCGCTATCTATCTATCCATCTATCTATCTATCTATCTATCATCATCATCAATAACTCATCTTTCAATTCCTATAATCTCTATTTATTCATATGATCTCTCTTTTCGATATAAAGACTTGTATTTTCTTTTAGTATACAATAATAATTTTCTTGAACTCTGTTTTAGGATATGGTAGCTGGTCCAAATTGATACAAGCTATTTTTTTTATTGAAATTGCAATTTATTTCACAATTTTCTCTCGTTATTTTTTTACCAATGATGCATAACAAGGGGGAGTTTCCGAAGAATCCGAGGTTCACTTACATGTATGACAAGAACCGGGCATTTCACCTTCTTGATCTTGTTTATGTTCTGCAATAAACATACACATCCAAGAAATCAACGGTTATAACCGCAAGTATCAAACCCGCAAAAAAAAAAAAAAAACTCGGACCGAACCCTCGAAAAATCGTCTCCATTTCGGTACCAAACCCGCAAATGCAACGAATTATCCTATCCGTACCGAAGCACATTGCCTTGAAATCTCTAAGTAAAAACATTCTTGAATCTTATCGGGAATTATGAAGAGTTTCAGTTCAAATGAAGATTATATAAGAATTACTAATTCTTATTCTAACATGACACATTAATCTCTAAACTCCATATGAACCGAAACTCTTCATGATTCTCAATAAATCTGTAACGAACTGTCGATTTTTTCGGATACCAAGCAGTTTAAAGGAAAAGATCGCCGGGGGAAAAGAGATCTAACCGAATAGATATCGCAGCAAAACTTGAACTTGACGTGACAGAGAACCCGGAGGCCGGAGAGAATGCCGCTGTGAAGAACGACGCCTCTAAGCCTCGGTAACTTGGCCGCGAGGTGCAACGTCGGCCCGCTCCCTACCGACTGTCCGTACAGTATCAAATCCTCCTGCCCGACCCCGTACTCCGTCTCTAGACACTCGTAGACCGCCTCTATATCCGCGTATGTATTGTACTCGCTCGGCTGGTTACCGTTAAATTCGCATCAGAACATCACACTAACCTTCTAATTTCGAAAAACCCTAATCCTATCATGTAAATGCCGAATCCAGCATCTAACAAATTCCATCGTCGAATGAAAAAACATCGGATAAAGATCAGATCCGTAACCCTTTTTCTTGATTAGGAATAAGATCGAAACTACGTTTTCGGAATCAATAATAGCATCATCAAAATAAGATCGAAATTGATATTGGAGGATGTAACGACACACCTTACCGGTAGAAGCTCCATAACCGGAATAATCGTACCTGGAAATCAGACAATAATCTAATTAAGTTATGATTTATGGACATAATATAATCATCAAACATGTGTTACTTATATATGAAATTGTGTACAATATATATAGGAGTAATGGTTATGAAATCGCATATTAAATATCATTAAAAAAAAAAGACCATGAATTAATGTCCCAACTAACTATTTGCTAAAAACGTGAATGTTGCGAGAAAAATGTCTGAAAAATCACCAAATTCACTTTTTTTGGCAACAAGACAATAACCTTTTTTTTTTCCACGAACCACAAAAAAAAAACATTGAAATTTATAAGAAAAACATTGTTTTTTTAATCTTTTTCTTGGAATTAAAAAAAATACGAATCTCGTGGACCGTAAAGTGTGAATCTAGGTAGACCCATTTCCCCAAACAAGTAAAAGAAATTTAGAAATCGCAGGACTAAAAAATAAACCATAATTAGGAAAAAAAATATGTTACATATTACTCGGTTAATACTAAAATTACGTACATTTACAGTCCTAGATATACGAGTTTTATGATATAGATTGATACCAAAAACACAAAATTGAAAAAAAAAACAAGAATTTTCTTTTAATAAAAAGAAACCCTAAAACAATAATTCGATCCAGCAAAAATCAGAACATTACAAGTATATACACGCACACATATATGTATATATTCCCATCAGCCATTAAGAAAGAACATTAAAGCTCAGCAACTCATTACACAAACCAGGATGACGACGAGGTTTAAAGAGCATATCACAATCACAGAGAGAGAGAGAGAGAGAGACCCCATGAGATTGACTCGGAGATTGACTTTGAGCTGGAGGAAAAGATCGTAGAGCTGACCCAAATCAGCGGCATTGCCGTGGGAGTAGAGAAGAGTGAGCCTCGCCTGAGGGTTCCTCAGGTAAAAAGTCACGATCTTGTTGCCTCGTCTCGTCTCCACCACCCGCACGTCCAGGGATGCCCCCCGCCCGCCGAGAAACTGGAGGACGCGGCGGAGGAGACGGCGGAGAGACGGCCGTCGGAAGACTTGGCCAGGTGGTACGTCGGCGGAGACGGAGGGAAGAAGGCGAATTTGGCGGCGAGGTGAGAGAACATGCACCCCATTTCTCCGGGATGTTATTCCGGCAAGCCCGCGGCCACGTGCATGGGTCCGCCGGAAATAAAACACAGACAGAGATGAAGACTGTCTGAAAATCAGAGAGAGAGAGAGAGAGAGATGCTAAAACAAAGCAAAACCCAGTATGAGCAGAGCCCAAACGCTGCAGTAAGAGAGAGAGAGAGAGAGAGAGAGAGAGAGAGAGGGGGGGGGGGGGACAAA